ATCCGCCAGTTTCCTTTGGCGTACGCATTGTCCAACTGATTGCATAAATTGTTATGGAATGCCATGGACGAGTACTCATAGAAAAGGCTGTGAATGCGCCAACGACTATTTCACATGGTCCTTCTTTCTTTTTTGGGCGCAAGGGAAACTGTTTCGGGTTGAGGGATTGTTGTCAGTGCCTTCGCTTTTTATGCATCATTGTACTCTGTAAGTGGTAGAAAGCATAGTTGCTATCAAAAGCAGTTTAGTCGAACTTCGGCTTGATTAAAGTGGCCTGCAAACTCAAGAAAAACTAAATCCCTGCAGTTAGATTCATTTTGTCTAGCTAGCTTTGCAGAAATATGTTTTCAAAATTTGAGTAAAACTTTTTCTTTATATATTTTTAATATTGTCAATCTTTTTAAACAAAACCTAATCCATTTTTATGATTGAGTGTGCACATTTGAGACCGGAAGAGTTAAAAGTTCTAGTTGACCTGTTTGAATAAAACAATAAAAATTTTAATTTAAAAATGTCAATTTTTTTGAAAGTTCGCTAATCTTTCGTCTTGTATAAATTGTGTTACATAAATTATTGTAACAAAAAAATGTGTATTTAGTATTTAATACATGAAATATTTTTTATAGTGTATACAGACTTTGGCTTGTTATAAATTCGGATATTTTCTTGTTATGATTCGTTTTTTTCTTGGCTCTGGTAGGAATTTATTTTGATTTGCAACAAATTTACTGCGGCATTGTATATCTTGTGTGTGCGTGTGTGTGTGTGTGTTTTGGTGTATGCTTAACGGTTTATTGCTTTTCGCACTCGCCACTTGCCACTTGCCACTTGCCACTTGAGGGTTTGCCGGGAGGGTTGTCTTTTGCGACTGGGAACTGGGCGCTGGGCGCTGGGCGCTTTGTTTACTTTGTTTGTGGTGTGAATAGCAAATAAGCCGCGACAAATGCGATTCTATCCCATAGTTCGATATACTGGTTTATTATGAAGTGTGGCCCCAGCAGATCCAAGCTGAAAGCACATTTATTTTAATTACAATGCATTCAGCAAGCGCAGCAAAATAATTTAAAACATTTGCCGCCCCATTAGTTGGCAAAATGTTGATGGAAATCTCAAATTGGAGTAAAATACTCGTTAAATGCGAAATGCAAAATGCATTTGCTGTAATCTCTGTGGCCACAAAATCAATTTGCGTTACAAAATTTATATCAGCCAAAGTTGCCTTCCCACAACATATTGGAAAATTAAATGCAATTGCTTTGGCTGTCGTGTTTGTGGCTGCAAAAATTGATTGATTTTGCTCTGACAGCAACTGTAATTGAAAATATTTGTTAACTATTAGTTTAGTGATACATTCCCGTTGCCAGTCGTAGTTTGGGCGACCTGCCTTACCTGCGTCAGGCATCCCTTCCTGTGCACATTTCCGTAATTCCCTCCAGCTCCTTACGGTGGGCGGGCTGCCTCGCATTTAATCCCACTTCAAGCAATGCCTCAAGAGGTTCCTCTTTCTTTCTTATCTATCGATGCGCCAAAGCGTGTCAGCTGCGGTCCTGGCAGGAGGGGAGGCCTGGACAAGGGCTGGTTGTGGTTCCATCCTTACAATAGCAGAAAAGCCTTTTGACAATGCGCCCCACAGATTTCAATGTATTTTCCTCAACTCCGATTACCCTGTAATCAAGAAGATGCGAAACGGCTGTAACCGGCGTGTGAGGGTATCGGAAACTCCCTTAACCGCATACAGAGGAAGTCCAGGTAAGTTTACTCAAAGAGTCTTCTTATCATACAAATTATATTTAAGTGAAAATGCGCTGAGTGCAGGGTACTTTTTAGTCCAGCAATTGCATTCAGTCTCATGTTTTCTATACTCTTATTTATTTTTTTTAATTCGCAGCAAATTGAATAGACGACAGTGACGATTGCCATATAGCATTATCACCTACACACCTAAAATTTTGAATAGCTTGTAAGCAATTGGTTCGATTCCTAGTCCCCCACCCACTCAGCCCACATCCCGCCCACATCCCGGCCAGCGCCTCACCCCATTAGCCTTTGTATTTCGGCTGCGTCGCGTATATCACATTTCCGTTTGTTAGCATTTTTCTACATTGTATATTCATTCACACACTCACTCGCACGACGAGTGTATTCATGTACGAATATGAATGGCAAGAAGTTTTCTGCTCAACTTGATAGCCCCAAACACAAGCCCAACCTGAACCCCAACCACGCAGCTCAAGCCCTTCCCATTACAACAGTGCATGCAAAAATTCCTATTGTACATTTTGACTGGGTGTTGTGTGGGGGGGGCGACAAGGGTGTATCTTTTTCTTCTTCTTTATTTTTCTTTTGGGTGGTATTGCGTTGATTTGAAGGCAACTCACGCCCTCCTTAGTTCCTTTCGGCATTTCGATTGTCAATATTTTCCACACGTCTACACAAAAGGTAGAAACTAAACTTTGTTCATTGATTTCTTCACAGAAGCAATGCACTAATGTCACTTTTATTACGATTTTACGATTTTTGATGGACTTCTTAATTTTCTAGGTTTTGATCAAGTAAATTGCAAGTGCCAGGGTTGCCAAACCAACTTCCTGCCTTTCGTTTCTGGTTCTAATCTTGGTTTGTCAAATTTTTTAAAACTTAACTAACACAATTAAACTTTTAATTTTAAATTGCCCGCTGTACTGAAAATATTGTAAGCCATATATATTTTCACATACATAATGCTGGCTAAAATTGACCCATACCCAAAATGTGGCATTTACCAACTGTGGTTAATGCAATAATTGGGCCCAAAGTTTTTTATACTTTGCGGACTGGGTCGCACTCAATTTTTTTTTAATGTTTAAATCATAACTGATATTTTTATAGGTTTATCAGTATTTTAGGCAGTTGGTTTGGTGTAAGCTTCCGCCGGGTTTGAACCGGTTCGACACGAAATAGTTTGGCAACCCTGGCAAGTTAGAATATATAATATCATTATTCCTTATCTTATATACATATTTATTGGAACTTGACTCTTAAATCTTTTTTCGAATCAAAATTAATGAAAACATATTGTTTTTTTTTAATTGTGAACTTTCAAAGAGCTTTGGCGCTTTTGGCCAATTAATTTTCATAGCTATTCATGAAATTATTTTGCCCCCACCTTTTCTGTGAAAATTGTTTCAACTAACTGAACTGCGAAATTGTTTGCCAACTAAATGTTAAAATAGAAAAGAAACACACTCGACACAGATAAGAACGCCAACTTGTTTGCTTAATAAATAAACTTTATATTCATAACTGAAAAACTTTTGCGCTGTCGGAGTCCGATCTTGAGCGGCGTAAGGAGTGCGGCATGCAGCATGTGGCATGCGGCATGCGGCAGGCAGCGAAACAAATGTGGGCGCTAATTTGCGTGGCAAAAACTTTTCGTTTGGCGCCCAGAAATGTTTGCTACGGACTGCAGCATACGGAGCCGCCACAAACTGCGCGCGACGGCATTTCCGGCGGCTGAGTTAGCTGAGTGCAAGCCGCACAACATAAATTATGCGAGCGCTTTCCGCATCAGCTGCTCCGCGCTATCTGCGCCGCGCGGCCGCTAATCACAAAAGTTTTGGGCTTGCGTTTCGCTACCTTCAATTGCCACTCGTGGAAAGTTTGGCGTGCGGCAGCAATGGGAGCCAAAAGGGTTAAACAGACTTGGCGAAAGTCTCTCAGCACTCGAAACTTTTTGCAGCACTGATTAACGAGACATAATTATTTTTGCATTAAGCGCCAGCTAATAGGCCGTGTAATACCAAAGTTTTTTGGCCCTAAATCAGCTCATCAGACCATCGAAAAAAGGAGCGAGAGGAATAAAAAAGGAGACACTCGAAGATAATGAAAGTGCATTCAGGTGGCAAAAGTCAGAGACAGGTGAGTGCCAACATTTTTCCATTATCCGATGTGCCACATTCTTTGCCAGCACAAAAACCAATTTAAATAATTAAAATACGACTATATAATACTCTATAGTTGTACTTATAGGACTCTTCCTTGTCCAGTCGGCAATATGTAAAATTTATTTAATTTTGACTGCCTTTACATTTTGATATTTTTTTTTTAAATTTTAAAAGCCGTAGCCAAAGGACATGAGTTTTTGCGTATTCTTCACATTCACGGAAAGGGTATGAATATTCCAGAATTGTGGTAGGAGGTATTCTGGAAAAATGCAGCATTTGACTGCCTGCAGCGAAATGTCTGCTGTTCTATGGTTGGCCAACACAGCCAGTGTCTGCCTTGATGAGAAAACTCAGCTCTTCTGGAGCTGAGGGTTAAAAGCTGAAATCGTTTCGAGCTCTGAGCCAGTGACAGCGACTGAGCCCGACAGCTTCACAACGGAAAGTGTGATTATATTTTCATTTTCAATTTTTTACGGCCAATTAATTTGGCAATTGACGCTTCGCTGGGCGTCTGCGACAGCACAGATATACGTGTATATGTATGTATGTGCATAGCCATGGGAGGGAGATTGTTGCAAATTGAGTTGTGTGGCAAGAATAAGAAAAGTCTATTATAGTGTCGGGAAAAGCTGCCTGCCAGCTATTTTGCCGTTGCATTGTCTGCCCCGAACATAATATGAAACTGCTTTTGTGGGCGGCTTTTGTTGGGGTGCCCTAATCCCTGCTCTCCTTCCCAGGAATATCATGCAATTTGCATCAAATCGGTTTTTCGAAATTAGAAAAGTCACTCAAGTGCAAGTTTGCATAGCGAACGGAAGCTGGCATTCACTTGGATATCGATTAATAGCCTAGGCGAAGTAATTTTGGTTATCGATAAGTAAACAATTCCGTTACCGATCGATCACAAATGATTTTTCGCCAGGGTGACCACATTGTCAAAAAAGTTAAAGAAGATTTTTTTACAATGCACTTATGCATCAGTTGCATAGCTTTATTTAGGGATTACAGAAAATATAAAATTTAACTATTACATTTCGGATACGTCGGAATGCGTCTGATTTAGGGACAATCGTTCGGTTAGTCGGTCGGGTAAACGGTTAATATGCGGTTTCGTCTTCAGTTCTCGTGAATAATCATAACATCCTCCAGTTGTACGTTGGGCAGCTGCAATAGCTCCTGCTCATTGTCAATGCGTCGGTCGAGCGGGAAACCTAGCGGACGGCTGTCCATTATGGAAGCCATGCTCATGCCCATAACGCCATCAATGCGCTCCATTCGCATCAGTTGCTCTCGGTCCAGGCGCTCCATGGGCGAGACAATCACGAGCAGCTGCATGGGTAGACCCTCGGGACGACCGCGTGGCATCAGCAAGCGCTGAGGAAAGCGTCCATTCTCGCCAACCAGCTCGTTCATCGTCAGCACATCCTGCTGGCCGCGCAGTGTAGTCATCACACGACGGTAGATCTCGCTGTAGGGCGTGGCATCGCGGGTGGTCCAGGCAATGTCCGTGGAGCGATACTGAATGCGATTGCGACCTGCCTGCAGTTGGGTGTTGATTGCATCCAGAAGCACAAAGTCTGAGCGGCGCTGCTCCAGGTTCACCTCACGGCCCGTAGCATCCTGACGTGGTCCCAGAAAGAGGCGCACGATGACATCTTGTGGGCGCTCCGAGCTCATGTCCATGTCAATGGTAAAGGGCTTGTTGTTCAGGCGACGCTGGCGCACCACCATTTGCATTTCTTGCGGCTGCTCTAGCAGGTTGCTCACGTCCATGTCGGTTTCCTCGATGCGGGTGCGCAGTTTGCCGACGCGCACATCGTTGATGGTCACATCCCGCAGGTCCAGCTGCTCGCGCCTATAGACGCCCAGCTGTTGCTCGCGCAGATCATCCACAATGCTAATAATTCTGCGAAGAGTGTGCTGCAACAGGCGGTCACCCATGCTGACGCCCAGCCCAGAGCGATCCAGCTGAACGTTGGCATCTTGGAGCAGCTCACGGAGGATGCGCAAGATACCAATATCACCTAGTCGTCCTATTAGGACATCACCAATCAGACGCTCGATGCGCAGCTGCTCATCAATCTGCTCCACTCCAGATCCTGCCATGCGGTTAATACCGATGTTGCCATTGCTCATCTCGCGGACCACACGACCGATCACCTGCTGCAAACGGCCCTCGATGGCATTGATTTGCTCAATCAGCACCCGATTGCGACGTGAGTCCAAGCGCATCTCGTTCAGGCGCACTGCATAGCGTTGAGTCTGATCTTGGTTAGGCATGATCAAACGGGAATTGTCGATTAGCTGCATCTCGTCTTTGCCAAGTCGTCCAGCAACGCGTTCCTGGTTCAAGCGTGCCAACAGCTGGCGTAAAGTGTGCAATATCATTTCACTGCGACGGGTCGTTTGCTCCACCATGGGGTTGACCAAGCTGCGTCGGTAGCGGTGTCCCTGCTCCATAGTTGTATGCTCTTCCTTCTGTTGTTTTTCCTGCTCCTTGCGCTGGCGATTACGACGCAGCATCTCGATGATCTCATCATCGCTGAGATTAACCAGACGATTGTCGCGGCGGATCAGCTGCATAATGTCCTCAACCTTCATGGTGTCTTCGCCGTCCACGCGGCGACCCTCTCCGATCGGACTAATGCGACGAGGAGTCATGTTCTCCATGGGCTGATTAAGACGGCGTCTATTAATGTGCACTAATTGCTCATCATCGCGACGCATGGTTTGCAGGTTGTCAGTACCCTGGTGCAAGTCTTCGTCCCAGCTGAAGCCGCGTAGACTATTGCGAATTTGATCCTGTTCCAGTTGAACCTGGTCTACACGGCCGCCCTCGCTCAGTCGGTCGTCACGTACTATGCCCATAAAGCGTTCCTTTTGTGTTTGCTCCTTGCGCTGGCGATTGCGATGCACCATCTCGACGATCTCCTCATCGCTTAGCTGACCTAGACGATTATCCCTGCGTATCAGCTGCACAATGTCCTCGTCCTTCATGGTGTCCATGGCACCCACGCGACGACCCTCTCCAATTGGATTAATACGACGCGGTTTCAAGTTATCCTTAGTCTGACCCAAGCGACGTCTGTTGATGTGCACCAGGCGCTCGTCATCACGTGGAACGCTTTGCAGGTTGTCGTTATCACGGATCAAGTCTTCGTCCTGGCTGAGATCGCGCTGACTATTCCAGATCTGACCCTGTTCTGTTTGTTCCTTGAGGTGGCGATTGCGACCCAACATCTCAACGATCTCCTCATCGCTTAACTGACGTAGACGATTATCCTTGCGTATCAGCTGCATAATGTCCTCATCCTTTATGATGTCCATGTCACCCACGCGACGACTTTCTCCAATCGGATTAATACGACGCGGAGTCATATTTTCCATAGGTTGACCTAAGCGACGTCTGTTGATGTGCACCAGGCGCTCGTCATCACGAGGAACGGCTTGCAGGTTGTCGGTAAGCTGGTGTACGCTCTCCTGCTTGAGGATTCCACGCATGCCAGTCTGCTCCTGGCCCACCCGACGCCCCTCACTCAGCCGCTCACCACGAGTGACACCCATAAAGCGTGTCTGCAGCTGTTCGTCTTCAGGTTCGATGCGGTTCAAGTTCTGGCGGCGTCGACCGACATGCAACAGGCGATCGCTGCTAATGTCCACAGTGGGCAATCGAGTGATGTCATCAGTGGTGGTGCGATCTTCCCGGATGCCACCTAGCATTCGTCTAATACCCTGTCCTATGCCACGCAGCAGAGGCACACGGCTTCCAGTCAGTTGTGCTCCGAACTGGACCTCTTCGTTGTCCTCATCGTCGCGGACCATAACACGCTCACGCTGGTTCTCGTAGCTGCTGTCGTCTTCGCTCTGCTGTTGCTGCATACGGCGACGGTTGACACCCAGCAGACGATCGTTGTTGATGTCAGAGTTACCTTGACGACGCTGCTCCACCTCTAACTGCCTTGGCATGTCGTTGTCGTTTTCCATGTCGAGCATCTGGCGGGTATTCGTGGTGTCCTCAAGCAGGGCCAGCTCTTGGATTAGATTCTGCATGAAGTTGCGCAAGCCAATATCCTCAGTCAGCAGCGAAATGTCCTGGTCCCCTTGCAAGGTCTGAATGGGCACCACCACACGATTCTGGATAAGCTGCTGCTTCATCTCGTGCTTTCTCAGTGCAATTTGCATGTGCAGATCCCGCCAAGGCATAACCATCCGCATCATAGGATTCACCTGACGTATACGTTGGCCTAGACCAACCAGATCCATGAGTGAGGGACGCGGGCTGCCCTCCACCTCGGATTGCATACGCTGAACTCGCTCAATCGTCTGCTGGTCGAGATACAGTTCGGGCAATATCTCCTGAACGGCGGGCATGATCAAGATTTGGGTGTCATCGCGATCGCGGATGGCCAGGGTAAGGGCATTGATCAGCAGCACGGGATTGATGTTGCGCCTCAGATAGATGACATTGCGCTGCAGTGTCTCAAAGTCGAGGGCGCGCACCAGCAGGCGATAGATGCCACGCAGCTGCTGCACATGCTCCACATTACGTATGCTATAGATCTGGTGCTCATCCAGCAGCCGGCGCTGACGATCCAAATCGATGACACGCTGCATCTCTCCATCAATGCCACCACGATAGCGCTGTGGATCCACAATCAGGCCCTGGTCCAGCTGTATAAGATCATCCTGCTGCAATGGCTGTTGAACACGTTGTACAATGTCCAGAAGAAACTTTTGGCGCTGCAAGTCCTGCCTGGACATGCGTTCAATGCGCTGATCAACTGCAAAACAAATTGAGATCACATGGAATTTAGCGCCTTATCCCTGCTGGGAAACTTACCATTGCCAATTTCACCCTGCCAGTCATGCTGCAGGATACGTCCAGCGGATACTGTGCCAAGCACACAGGCTACTAGCACGAGAAGTTTGTTCATCTTGTTAGTAGCTCCTTCGTTACAAACCAGAAGGCGACTGCATTTTTGGCTTCACTCAGAGCCGCATTTATACCCATTCTTATCGGCTGGCGTTAGGCCTACGTAAATATTTTCAGCATTCGCTCTGAACTGGCAACAAAATGTTTATCTGTTCAATCCCAAAGTACATTATGCAATTACTTATAGACTGGTCAGCCAGCTGAGTCGAAATTGCGGCCAGAGGTCAACAGATTGCACACTGGCTGCATTCGGTGGGTTGATTGGTTGCTGCTGTAGATAACGGGTCATTTTAAGACGCTGCTTAATTAGGCCGTTGCCCTGGGCATCCATAGCTTTTGTTTGCTGCCTTTGTTTATATATTAATAACCAGATTTTTGCTGCCATGCAGCCTGCAAGTTATCTGTACAAACTTTCATTGACCGGGCACTCAGTATCGATTATATGTTCAAGCACCTGACGAGGCATCATATATATATTTACTCCCTTTTGTTACTCAAATCTTTACAGTTTGATCGAGCAAGTGAAGTTCCAAATTTTTCCGTTACTTCTTTTCGTTTTAAATTTAACGATCTGCTTGCCTTTTAAAAGTGGAGTGCGATAACCTGTCCAGTAGGTAATATATCGATATGCGCAATCACGATATTTATTGCCAATAAATTTAACGATCTGTTTGCCTTTATAGCCTAGTAGTCCGATACCGATAGTCCGATACCTATTGCCAATCAGATCTCTTTCGTGCACTGTTGCCAACTATTTTATTGTTTTCGTGTTTTAGATATTTGGATTTTGAGTAAACAACAAATAAACGGTGAGCGTTACATAGAAAATAGAATCTAAAAGTGTGTACATCATTGCGACCAAGTTTTTTTGTACGGTATAATACGTCACGGTGCAGCGTGTAGTTTGTGAGCAGCAGAAAACGGGTAGGTCTGGGCTCGTGGCCATTGTTATGATTGGGGGCAACCAAGTGATTGGCGATTGTGAACGGATTCTGGCAACTGTGAGGGGCGCTTGCAATTTTTCTATTCACATTTAAATTGGCAATTCGTTTGGCCGTGGCTTTTGTGTGTGCTGCCAGTCATTTTTTTTTTGTCTCCTTTGGATGCGCTGCGTTGCGACAATTTGCAACGTGCCTGGCATGCAACGGAAGTCAACGCGCTACGTGGGTGCCACATTGCCAGGGCTAAACTGTGGCCATTGTTGCCGCTGCTGTTGCCGCTGCCGCTGCTGCCTTTTCTAATGTAATTGCAATTGTTTGCCGGCCTGGCAAATGGTCAGCAACTTTGATTTTGCCTTTTGCTGCTGCACTTTTTCAACTTTTTGCAACAAAATGACGAAGGCTCAGCATTTTTATGCATGCCAAGCGCATTTGTGCGCCATTAATTGCTTCTTTATGTCCAGCTGCTGCCGCTGCTGCTCCAGCTGCATGTTCAGCAATTATGCAGCGACAATTTTGCATTAATTGCTCCTTTGTGCTGCCCGCCCAGCTGCCTGCTGACTGTGTGGGCGGCGTTGCCACTTTTTACGCGTGCCTACAGGAAAAAAAGGACCTAAAAAAAGGAACCGGGCATTGTTCGCGAATGCATTTGCTGCTCGCTGAATGCCGCTGTCCAGTGCTCAGTTTAATTGCTGACTGCCTCATTTGCAGCAGCCCCGGGCCTAGGCATAAGTTTTATGTAGAGTAATCCCGCACATGGGCCATTTCATTAATTCAGTATGCCATCTCTTTATCTGGCATACAATTTTAACTTTTTATTGAAAACCAAAATGGGAAACATAATTAAAACGATCATGTTTATTTGTTTTGCTTGCCTATTATTAAATTATATATTATATTATTATATTTTATACATTGTATTATATTATTATTATTTTGTTTTTGGTTTTATAGAAGTTAATTTAAATTTTCCCCATTTCACCTGCTTACTGGCCATATCTCAAAGCTGTTAAGAGCTAGATACACCAAATTTGATATGTAGGCTTTCATATAGTATATAAAGATACGACCGCTATTTTATGCCCTGGAAATTCTCTGAGAAAAACTCTGGTCCAAAGTACTTCCTAGTCGGGCACTCCCGACCAGAGTACATTTGCTTGTTTGTTTCGTGTGTATTCATCTGCAATACTCAGACCAAATTATGAAAATGTATGTATATATTCATTAAGATTATCGATATTTAAAAGACTTTATTTTCCATGATTCTACTTTAAGCTCTTCGCTCCTTGGCAACCCAGAAACCATATGATAAGCTAGCTGTACATATCCTTCACAGTGAAGTGGGAATGTCAAGGCATCAGTATCTTTGGCTGTCTTCATCCTTGTCGGCCTTCTGCCAAGCAAATGAAGTATAAGCCGGTCGCAGGGGGCGGTGGTTGGTTTCGTTCCGCATTCTGCCTCTCGCCTCGCCTTGACTTAAATGCGATTTAATGCCTTTTTTGTTTGTCTTCCATGCGTCGGATATCCGTTGACGCAGTGGGCGTGATAAACCGCAGTAGCGGAGCAGGAGCAGAGCCGTAGCAGCAGCCGTGTCAGACTGCTTTATCCTCGCTACCATCCCGTTGCACGCTCCTCGACTGTGCCGCTAATTTGCTTGGCGTTTTTTATGTCTCATCTTCGCCTTGGCGTCTTAATCTTATATCCTTTTTTTGGCTGGCTTGGCACTTAAAAAATGTAGTCTTTTGTTGGACCGATAAAACTGCTTACAAATGCTTAAAAAATTAAAATTTATTACACGCGATTATGGGCCACACAGGCAGCTGGAAAGAAAAATGCTTAGAAGTCAAGTCCCTACTGTCGTCGTCCCCTTCTTTTCAAATACCAGAGAGATGCAAATGAAGTGCCATCTTTTTCGGTTCACCATATTTCCGGGCAATGGACATTGCCCAATTGATTCATGACCCCACAATATCCTCTGCGTAATGGCGAATGGTCTAGGCCACCTTAAAGAGCCAGCTTCAGCAAAATAATAAGAGGGCGCACAAAAAATAAATATAAATATACTACTTCATAGTAATAATGAAGCGCGCGGGGCAAAAGAAAAGTGCCACACACCAACGCATGGCAAAAAGAAAATATTTCTTTTTATCGAAACGGATGTGAGTGTGCCAGGAATGAAATAGCAGCAAAAAGAAAAAAGGACCTGGCAATGGAAGAAGGTTAAGAAGCAACCAGGCGACGTCGTTCCAAATAAATAAAACAAAAATTTGTACTCTAGTGCGGGGGCGGGTAGAATTCTGGGCTACTAAATTTCATTGCCACTTTTGTCACCTCTTACTTCCACGCCCTCCTGACCTCCGCCCACACCCCACACCCCACACCCCACACCCGACAACCGCACACAGAGCAAACCAAACAACTTTCATTTCACACGTTTCTCGTTTGTTCCACTCGCAGTTTTTGTTTGTCTTGAAACAAGTGACTTCAGAGAACCAGAACGAAATTGGAAGAGCTCTTAAAGTGTGAGTGTGCTGTGTGTGTGTGTGTGCGTGCGTGCGTGTGTGCCTGGTATTGGGGTGAGCGCACGTGTCCTGCGCGTGCCTGCTAGTTTTGATAGCTATTGACTCCTGCCGAGCCCTGTAAGTAGTTGACCCGTTAAATTTTGATAATTGATTTGCCATTGTTTTCTCTTAAACTGGTTGAGAATTCGTAAACAGCTTAAACGAATACACACAGTAGTTACTCTTGTTATTTTTTCCACTTCTGAAAAAGTTTATTTTTGAATAGAATATGTTGCATACATCTAGGCGAAACTTAACCAACTGTTAACTAATTATTTTGTTGGGGCATAGCTAACGCTATATCACTTAATTACCAGATCTTTGGACCGTTTGACAAGCCAGTTCCCTTCTGGTTTTCCGCATTGTGCGAGCAGGGGGAGGGGGGGGGGGGTTATTGTCAACGTGCGGCCTGACAACTTCATTGGGCAAATATTTTTGTAGCATTTCGTAGTGTTTCGCACAAGTGATTTGCACTGTGACTGTGACTCGACTCTGGCTTTTGGGTGAGGTCAAATACAAACAACGAGGCGCTGTCTTTATTGCTGGTTTTGCTGGCTCTCGGACCAGGACACTATAAAAACGACCTTGCGGCAACAAAAGGCAGTCAGACGTGAGCTCTCATTCGCTTTCGCTCTGCCTTTCTGTGTGTTTGTGTGTGTGTGTGTGTGTTGTGACTGTGCAGACAATCAGCGCACGACTTTTGCCTGCCGGGTTGGAGCTGTCACTATGAGGATGGGGGTTGCATTGGTTGGTTGCTTAGTTGAAGGGGAGGGTGAGTGGGAGGGTAGAGGTGGGAAGGGGACTCTTTGGACAGACGTCGCGCGTTCCATTTCTTATCAGCACTTTGGCTGCGATGCAGCGTGGCATTTGTGTGAATTTTATGTGCGGCTTTTGAGCTGGTTATGGTGCCGTCGCAATTGCTACAGCGCACATCCCACCCCGTTGGCGGCTTCTGCTGGCTGCTTCTTTGTTTTGATCGTCAGCTGAAAAGGTGTCAATTGTTTTCTTTTTTTGCCGCTTGTCACCGCGCCACGCCTCATCGCAACTCACAGTCGGTTGCATAAACAAGTGGGCGTAGTGAATCCCATTAGGCGTTAAGAGTTGAGCGCTGAGCGCTGAGCGCTGATCAACCCCCCTGAATGGTAGACAACCCCCCGAGCGGCCGGCAATTTAAACTAATAATCAACGCATCAGCAAACATTGTCGTTATTATTCACGCGCATGTGGCGCCCCCTGGCGGTTGAGTGCTGACAGATTGCCTGGCTGGTTGGGTGGTTATGGTTGTATGGGTGCGTGTGTGTGTGTGTCTGTATCTGTATCTGTATCTGTATCTGTATCTGTGTGTGGGTCTTACAAGTGTATTCATCAATCAGCGGGGCGTGTGCTATTTAAAAATCGTTTATTCGTTTACAGTTTGAATTTTGCATTCATTTTGTATCACATTCAAATACAGATTTTTATATTACACAAGATCGGACTGTTTGGAATTGCCTCAACAATATATATATATATTTAGTTATAAAGCACTGAAATCGTTAAATCAAACAAGGCTCTGTGTTTAAACTATTGCTTTTGCTTGTGGCTACAATTAATTTAAACTGAGAACTTCAACTTTTAGATAAGTTAAATTAACTGCTTTCCAAAAAAAGGAGTTTTAACTTGTCAAAAAACACCGACTGATAAGTATATCCATAAAAGTCAGTTGTAAATTGATATACTGCCATCTAAACAAGAATATACTCAAACTGGAAACTTCAAAAATTAGATCAATCTGAATTTAAATTTGAACATAAACATTTTTTAAAGGGGTTGAAATTTAAACGAATTCCGTGGATTGCTGCTCTAACACCTGACAGATAAGTTTCCCTGAAAAAAAAATTCGATGTTATTTATTCCCTGTAGTTTCCTCTAATCAATAATATAGTCATACGCCATGTTTATAGGAACAATTTCGATTTTTTATTTATTTCCGTTGCCGCTTAAAGATCCGCTTAGTTATTTGGTGTATTTTTAATAATATTTCATTTCTATATACATAACTGAGTACCACACATAACCAAAATGAATAGTTCGAACACAGTTCGGGGGGAAAAACAGAAACATGCAACATAAAACATAAAACATAAACTCACAAAGATTCAGCTAACACTAGGGTTCTACACTAGCAAGTGGGCAGCTCTTATTGCTGCTACCATATTGGGGCGGGGCACAGAGGGGGCGGGGACTGTTGTCGGTACCTAGTCGCTGCTGATGCTCCAACTTTAGACCGCATGCTCCGCAGCGGCAGCGCCGTAGCGCAGCGGAGTCGGTCAAATAATGTTGGGCGGCGTTGTGGCTAAAGCTGGAACGACTGCCACGGGCGAGGACTTAGATGATTTGACACAGCCATAGGACGAGATGCCTGTGCCGCTGCTGCTGGGCGGGGAGGGCGGAGTTTCTGGACTGATCAGCGGCAAGTAGCGCCATGGATGATATAAGCTGCCGGCGTACATGGCCTGAAGACGCGCCTGCAGATCCAGCGCCAATGTCGGATCGAGCGGATAATGCCCCAGACCCGGAAAGCCACTGGGCACGCGTGGCAGCGACAGCTCAAGCGGTGATCCAAAGCCATACTTGGCGGCCAGCGAGGTGGGTGAGTGCGAATGGGAGTGGGAGACGGCGGCGGCGGCAGCAGCAGCTGCGACGGCGCTTAGCTGCGCGTGATGATGATGCGCATGCGCATGGGCGTGGGCGGGATGTGGATGTGGGTGGTGTGGGTGATGCGGATGATGATGCGCAAGGCCTGGCCCATGGGGCGAATGCTGCGCTTGGGCTTGCTCCTTGCCCAGTTGACCAGCGGCCGAAAGACCAGAGCTGCTGCTAGAAGCTCCTCCGCCGCCGACGCCGCCGCCACCTCCGCCCGGCACTGGTGACTTGTTCAGTGTCTTGGGCTTACGGCGCGGCCGATATTTGTAATCGGGGTGCTCTTTCATGTGCAGCGCGCTGTAAATAAAGTAAATGTTGAAACATTGATCAAAGATCGGGCCATGGCATCGATATTAAAACGATTGAACGATGGCGATGATATCACAAAGTCAATCGGTTGCCCTGTTCCCTGGGCCATAAAAATGAAGCCGCACAATTTAAGCTGTTCTATTGCGCAACTACGGAATACCCTGTAAATCATGTTCGAGAAGCTGAAAGGCGACAGACCGTAGAACAACTAGGTGATGATAGAAAACAAAGAGTAGCCCAAGCTGAACTCTTATATTATGGAAGACTAATAGAAAATATAATTCAACTATTTGAGGGTAAAAAACTATATGTCTGTATATATAAGAGTGAATCTTTCAATGGGCTAAAATGTTGGCTAAAATACGAATCACATTCACATTGCTTATGCCTTTTCTTGTATAGGTTAAAATTAATGAGCTATATTTGATTCTCTACATCTATCTACATCAATCTCTTTTAGACCCGTCTTTAACTCAGTTTGTAGGGTATACGAACTGTAGCCAAAACCCTTCCATAAAACCTCGCTCTCCTGCAAGACTCAACGCTTATCTGGCCATTTAGCAAGGCAGAGTTTCTAAAGTTCTGGAGTTCTGTGAGTATTCCCAGCTGCAACAATGCGCAATTGTTGACATTTGTTTGACAAACGATAAATGTTGATAAAAGGTGTGTATTATGGATTGTTGTTCTTCTTCTTGTCGGTGTTGTTGTTGTTGCTTTCGTGGCTGTTGTCACTTTTGCTTTCTTTGCCTGAACTGCCTTCGGCTTTGTTGCAGTTCCCATACCCAAATTGGTCAGCCCTGTTATCTCTGCCCAAAAAAAGAAATAAATGGAAAAGAAGCAATATTGAATTTTTGAAATGATATGCGAGTGTGCCGCCTTATCGACGCCTCGCACATTGGCAAATATTTGAACAGTGTTTCTTGTTTTCGAATATGATAGTCTTTTTTTTTTTTAATTTACTTTATCATTTATTTTGTTGTCTTAGCCGAAAATTGAATGGCCATTGGGCTAAGCCCGAACTAGGCTCATTATCAAATGTCAGTTAACATTTACACAACCATTTGGCAGTCAAATGCAATCAATAAAAGGATTAGGACAGTTATCAAAGTGGAATGCAACATTAAAGGCCCAACAAGCCACAAAATAGAATAGCCGCTGATCAGTTAATTATTTACCCAAGATAGGCCAATGGAATATACAACCGCTCCCAGAGCTGCGAAAGCCTACTCAATGCGGTTTTAGAGCCTCACAATAGCTGCCCATTGTCTTAGCTAATCGCTCAAATTGTGACCAGACGACAAACCCATACACAGATATACTCACACACATACACACACACACACACCCACATACACACGCACACTCACCGCAAACGCTTGGCTTCATCAATGAATGGACGCTTCTGTGATTCGGTGAGCAACTTCCATTCGGCCCCCAAACGCTTCGATATCTCTGAATTGTGCATTTTGGGATTGTCCTGCGCCATTTTGCGTCGCTGGCCCCGGGACCATACCATGAACGCGTTCATTGGTCGTTTAATGTGGTCATGATGCGAGTTGCCATTGGAGTTGGAGTTGGAGCTGTGTTGTTGCTGTTGTTGCTGCTGTTGCTGTTGCAGCTGCAGCTTGGGCACCGCCGGGGGCGGCGGCGGCGGCGGTGTTGTGGCCGCTCCGATTGTCCTCGGCGGTGAGAGGCTGCTGCTGTGGTGACTGTGACAGCTGCTCCCGCTGCCGCTGCTCGTGTAGCCGTTGCTATTGTGGCTGTGACTGTGACTGCGATGCAGCAGTGCCGAGATGCTCGTCATGGCTGCCACCTAATATTGTGTGTGTGTTGTTGGGGTCGTCAGGTGAGTGGCCCGATCCAGGGATTCCAGTGCGGTGCACTGACCGTTTCCTCTATACGTGTCTGTGCTGAAATGCAAACGGTAATGGAGTTCAATAGATATGCTTTGTTTGTGGCATGTTGCAGACACGAGGCGAGTGTGTTTTGTGAGGTGTACTACAATGGGTTGCCCAACTAAATGTGATAACTGCGAAGGGGGGGTTGATTCAGAAATGAGTAATCAAAGGGGAATAGTATTATGCTGAAGCCGAACACTTCAAAATATTTGCACAGTGTAGTGTATTTTATTATACATACAATAATTACTGGAAACTCAAAGCCAGAACTTCTTTCGCTATATATTTATAAAGATTTTAATTGTATTATTTAAAAACGGGGGATCCGTATAATAGCATGCCTGTACTCAATTCCTAAATTAGCATTAGCTGGGAGAAGAAGGGATATCTACGCAATTCAAGTAAGATGCACCTTTCCCACAGATTGATCGACTTATTCTTTTTAGCTGTTTATTATTTCTTCCTTTAAACAAGGCTCTTGAGACAAGTCTTGTGTTTATTCTTTAAAAATGTTCGAGCTTAATATAAAGGCTAAAACTAAAATTAATAATCTCCTATCAAGAATTGACATTGGTTAAAGATTGAAATTTCCAGGTTTTTCAGAATGAGTTGACTTCTTTTATTTTGTATATGAAGTGAACGAGGTTTTCATAAAGGTCTACAACTTATCGCTTTAGATCTTGTTCAGAACATCAATTTTAGATCCTTAGACCCTGTTCAGTACATAAATCTTAGTATGTGTATGAATTGCGACATAAAATGGTTAAAGTGTGCAGTGAATTTTACAGAGAGTCTCGGCACTTATACAACCAAAATATTTATATTCCATTTATTAATTTTTAATAAAAAAATAATAAAATATAGTTGTCAAACCAATAAAAAATGTCTAATTGATCAATGAAACTATGTTCAAATGCATATGAATCCGATAAGGTGCTTATCTTTTTTTATGATATAAATGAGTTACCTTTTGTAGAACTGCGGATTTGATGCGTAATCCCGAGAAAAGTAATCTTTAATGGACTTAGTTTAAACTCACACTTTTCAAGAATGTCAACTTTTTTCAAGCACTCATAGGTTTTTTTTGTTATTCTTTTTGAATATCCCTTAAATATTGTTAAATGTGCATTATATAATTTATATATGCTTTGTTCAGTTTTAATCCCGATCTAAACACTTTCGATAACACTTGACAAAACGCTTTTGTGCGCCACTCGAAGATTCGTTTCCACTTTTTGTTGCCTGAACTAACCCCGAGCCGTGTGCGAGCTGCCGGAGCCGGTGCGTCCGTGTCGAGTGCGCGACAATTTTGATTTGAAACACACATTCTATGGGCTAAGGGCACAATCTATGGATGGCATTCGAAAACTTGCGACAGTTGGCGGAACAAAAACGGGAAAAACGGCAAACAAAAACTGAAATCAACTCAACTGTGTGAGTATGTGTGTATGTGTGCATGTGTTTGTGTGTGTGCGGGGGGTAAATTTGTTATTGTAGTGGTTGCATGCTGGCTGCTCGCATTGAGCGCCACAGGAGCGAGCAAGAGCCAATTAGCGTGCGACAGAGAGCGAGCGCGCAAGAGAGAAAGAGAGAGTGAGAGAGCGAGAGAGGGAGAGAGGGAGAGAGCGAGTGCGCGACGGGTGTTTGTAGAGTTTGTTTTCTTGTTAATTTTTTTGTGTCGTAACTGTTCAGAGGACGCAGGCATCTCGACAACGCGTCGGCTAAGTGATAAAATTTGCTGCTGCTCTTCGCCCTTCTCACATTTCTTACCTTCTGCGATTTGTGTGCGTCTGTGTGTGTGTTTGCATTTGCATTTGTAAATGTGTTTGCTGTTCTTTTTTTTGACCAATTGTTTGTCCCAACAACAAGAACAACAACAGCAGATAATATCGTGCACAAAAACTACAAATATGTTTATTAATATGCTTTCCTTATTGTACGATTTGTGTGTGATAATCTCGACCAAATATTCAGTTGCTTATCAAAATTTGCCGGTCGCCTTATTTGCTCCCACAATCGATCGTCATTCCGATCGCTCTGCACGCGATTATCTTGTAGGGCATTTGCCCTGTACACAATTGTAGTTGCACTGAGATACCCTTTCGCTGTCATTGTTTGGAAGGGGAGTCTCTAGTTCAATTGCCCTCCTTGTTTGTTGTGAGCTGTACAGGAAATTCGTCATTCGGTAGTGCACGGTTTTCCATATAATTGAGGCGATAAAATGTTAAATTTGTTTCAATAAGCAATTGGGGTCGAACACGGTTAATCCACTTTAATAAATGAGCGTCTCTTGTAAAATTGTGTTGTTCCAGGAATTATATTCTTATGTTTAGAATATAAAATAATAAAAAGATGTTCCCTTAACATGTTTGCAAAGTTCCCCTTGATGCACATTTTGAAAACATTTTCGCGCCAAAAGGCATAAAATGCACAAGGTTTTTTTTTCAGTTCTGCGCAGGCGTCGCTCTCCAAAACGCGTGACTCGCTGTGTAGAGTCTGTGGCTGCTAGCTAGTGTAAGGGGGAAGGGATTGGGAACAGACGCCCCCCTCTGCCCGTGACAATAAAAATGGCAGCGCTATGAACTGCCACCCACCCACACACCCTCCCCGCTAGAGCCTTTGCAAGGCTATGCTGCGCGCATGTCGACGCTCGCCTGGCGCTTTGGCCAATGGCATAGACAATGCTCTGGAGGAGTGGGAGCGATGCGGCTGCTTAGACGCGTTCTCAATGGTGACGGGTTTTTTATCGTTTTTGTTTTGCATGCGAGCTGAATGCATTTTATTGGCCAAGGCACAGCGCCAAGACAATGGCCAGCAGCAACTGGTGGCCATAGTTTTGTTTGACTTCTGCTTCTGCTTCTCCAACTACTACTGTTCATTCAACTATTCTTCCTGCTGCTGCTGGTGTTGCAGCTGGTGCTGCCTTCTGGCAAGTGTTATCGTGTCCTGGCACACACTATGCCAGCTGCCATTTGTTGTCGCATAATGGACATTATGGCTGCTCTATTATGCCCAGCATCAGGACAATGAGCTGAACATCGTTGAATTGCCAACTAACAAAAATTGCGCTCCTTTCGCCAGCGACCCAGACTTGAACCGAGACCAGCACCAGGACCGGGTCTGCTGTGTGATTGCCATAATTTTGGGTATTTATGATGCGCTTTTTATGGCATTCCGCCAGTCCCTCGACTGCTTCGACTCAGCCTTCATTCATTGTCAGCTGAATTCGCATTGTTTGGCTGCATTTTAGCTGCGTAAATGTATGGGCTGTCGTCCAGTATGTCGCCATCGCCCACACTTTCCATGTGCGTGGGTTCTTTTTTTTTATCCCCAAATGGAAATGTGGCTCGCTAATCGTGATTTGTGTTTTAAATGAGCGCAGAGGACAACCAAAGCGAAAAATGAGTATGGAGTTCTGTGGAGACTACTGAAGTGGGTAAACTGTGGGCGTGGAATGTCTGTGTGCGACGAGTGGAATCTGATACCGATTTACGACTGACTGTGCAGGTCAACAGTTTCACAGAGACAGTTGCTTGGATGGTAGATAGGTAAATAATGAGCGCTTAAGGTATGATTTTCGAATGCTGTACATGTTGTTATAGTTTAGCGTTTATTTTATTTATATTAATATTTAAATAGGACAGACGTCACTAAATTCATAAAACCATCCTTTTATTCACAAATGGAAGGACGCTTTCTAGCTGCATAAATTAATGTATTGTTCCGCCAACTTATCGACCGGAGGTAATTATATTTTAATATATTATTGATTTGTTGCGTTGTGTCATATTTTTTTCGTATTCTCATACAAAAATAAATTCTTTTAAAGTAGCTAACAATTTAAGAATATAGCTATGAAAGAAAACTACTATTCACATGAATATTTTCCCCGTAATTAAGTTGCCACTTTGGCAGATTATTCATAAAAATCCTAATTGAAGTAGGGGCAGCCATCGTAAGCAAATTTCCACTTCGCCGTTGACCTGCGCGCGATTATGTAGTTTTGAAGCGACATATTTCTACGAGGATATATGGAATATCTTGATTAAATCATCAAACATATTTATTTTTGTTTTTGGGTCTTACATTTTACATTTTGTTTGCTTTATTTCAAGTTTACTATTATTATCGATTGGCATTAAGAAATTGAAAATCTAAATTTTGACCCAAATCGAAATAAAACAAGGGATGGGTTACATAACTTTTTTCTCAAATTCGGGGTCGGTTCGAAAATAAAAATTTTTTTGATGATTTTTATCAAATATATCGGGTAAATATTGTCTGATTTTGGAATGTTGTACCTTTTTGAATTCGTACGGATCCCTACTATCAATTGGCATTAAATAAAAAATCGATGGGTTAAAAAAAGTTATTGACTAAAATTCGATTCGTTTGTAAAGTCAACCTTTTTCGATGATTTTTTGGAATATCTCGGTCAAATATCGTTAGTTTATGGAATGATATACAATTTTTGACTCGTAAGGATCAGTACTATCGATTGGTATTTAAAAAAATAAAATCTATATTTTGACCTAAATCGAAATAAAAGCACGTTTTTTACCAAAAAATGTGTGGTCGGTTTGAAAATGAAAACTTTTTTGATGATTTTTCTGGAATATCTCGGGTAAAAACATCAGTTTTTTTTAAAGTAATACCTTTTTAAATTCGTACAGAAGCCTTCTATCGATTGCCATTCAATAAAAATAATAATCAAGGGTTACATAAAAATTGTGGATAGAAAACGGTTTGGTCAAAAAATAATGGGAACCAAAGGATCAGGTCCCTGCAAAATGTGCATTGAATTGGTCCAAAAACATGTATGGATTTTTCTTTCAGGAGCCCTTTTATATTAGCTGTAGCGTTTCAATCGATAGTCGGGATCCGTACAAGAAGAAAGAGGTATATCGTTTTGAAATCGGGCATATGGTACCCGAGATATTTCAGTTTTAATTTTAATTTCAAAAATAAGGTCTCAAACGTATTATGTAGACAGCACGAAAGTATGCAGTACTACTAAAATTCTGCTAAC